TGTACTTCCTACTGCTGCGCGGTCCCTCTTTTTCCCCACCTGCTCCGCTATTCTCACTGCTTGTGATGTGGGTCATATTATGAATTCCCGTCGCCACCTTTGCTGCCCCGACCTCCTATTCCCCGCTCACCTTTTACTCTGCGTCTACCCTTATACTAAACACTTAATACAGATGTCTTCTTCCCGGTTCAGGCCGACTCGTCCTCATACGCCAACTACCAAAGCCTCAGTAGATGAAGAATCGGGAACAATCGTATTACAAGACGACTTAAAAATGCGAAGACTCTCAGCAGCCTGCAAAGAGTGTCAGCGTCGGCGGACCAAAGTAAGGATCCTAAATCATATCGCATACTTAGCTATTAACTTATTGATGTCTCAAACAATAGTGCAGTTCTGGAAATCCGTGCTTGGAATGCACGAAGCATGGCTCTATTTGCATATTAGATAAGAGCTCCGACAAGCGACGCAAAAGCTACGTAAGGAAGATGGACGAAGAACTTGGTTACTATCAGAGGTTTTTGGACGACTTTCTGAGGGCAATCCGGAAATCTAATGATGATGACGTCCATCACATCATCAATATTGTGCGGTCGGGGTCATCAACCAGTGGAATACAATTTGAGGTGGACGACGTTCTTATGGGGAATAATCATTCTGGGCCCGCAGTATGATTTATGCAAAACCACTCAACAAAGCTCTGAGCGGATTTCACAGATGGCTGCTGATGCGGGAGTCGACCTGATTTATATATTCTCATACTCGCCGGACCTGCAGATGCCAGTATTCTCTGCAAATGTATTACAGTTAATTTACGAAACTTTCCATCACGTGAGGAACCCTTTCAATACGATTCAGTATTTGAATCCGAGCTAATCCTGGACTGGATTAGTGTGTTTCGGAACTGGGCTCGAGACAGATTCTGTGAGAACAAAGTGGTGAAACTAACTTCGAGCCATCCTGTACACCCTGGCGCCATGTAGAGCTCTTTTTTGGTCGGGCTGACAGTCGCTCTTTAGTTGAGGGGAGTGGTTTCCAATTGAAATTGTGCTACATTCCCTTACCGTACAGAAACTGCGTTGAATGACATAGTTGCACCCCAGGGGTGTTGCAAAAACAAGCTACTGTTGATATGTGCCGCTGGGCAGCGGTTCGATTCTGTTCTAGCCACTGTAGTTCTTATTTTAAACATAACGACGCGGCGACTAGGTGCCCAAGTATCACTCAGAGCGCTTCATTCATCCGACGATTTGTTCTCTCTTTCCTGATACAAAATATGACCAGTATAGCGCCCTTGTTCATCGTGGTAGATATGTGCTGTTTGAGCCTTGTTATTTTTGAATTGTTCCTCGGTTGCAAACAGTGCTGTGGCATGCGGCTTGAGGTCGGTATGACTCGTGTGCGATGGGTTCCTGCACAGATCGCAACCACCGGGCTTGGCAATTAAATTACGAATTTAACGGTGTAATCTAGCACGCTCTTATTATTATGCTAATTTGGGGCTTTTTTAGCAGTGAAGGTCATTTATAAACTTGAAGAGTGTAATCGACTATGAATGGCGTGTTTGTCATTTTCGAAATGACAAACATAGGGCCTTTGAAGGTATGAGTTACTGTACTGTAATTCGCCATCTTTTCCAAATCACTAAGCTTTTCCAATCCCCTACTCTCCCTCGATTCATCACTCTCCCTCAATTCATCACTCTCCCTCAATTCATCACTCTCCCTCAATTCATCACTCTCCCTCAATTCATCACTCTCCCTCAATTCATCACTTACATGCCCCAGTCACTTTCTTGGTACGTTAAGTATCAATAATTCTGCGTAACCGATCGAAGTTTTCCTATCTCTCTGAACGTCTACCCGACAAAGGCCCACCAATTCATCAAATCTGCTGGGCAGACCAAAACAATACAAATTGGTGCTGAAAATGGCAAGAATCGATCACCTAGTCACGTTCCACAGCAGATATAAGAAATATAAACCAAAATCAAGTCCCGAACAACATAGCTTACGCGCGCCTGAAAATTATCCTGGGTTTGGCGGGCTCTTGGGGAACGTGCGACCGGCTCCGAAGAGCAAAATGTTTGGGGCCTCACAAAGTGATGACGGTTGCTCATAAAAGCCTCTTGACGCATGCGCTTATTGGTGAGACAAGCAATTTTCTGTAGCCACATCCTGACAATACATCTCTGGTAACTCCTATCCCAGGACATATGGTAAATCTCCCAGTAGACTCATCCAATTTCCCTGGCACTGGTAGTCATCCAAATCCTGATTAGGAATGCGTGGGAACGAGTAGACAGAGTAATTCCCAGAAGCATCTAGCATAGAACGATAATGCTGATTGGGTGATCAAGTAGCAGGGTCCATTGTGGCGCAAATAATTGCAGCCAGTTTACCAGGATGGATGCACTTTGATGAAGCCAGGCCTTTTCTGATGGGATGATTATGGCCGTAAAGAGGAGGGTTGCACACAATGGGACTGGCGTGTTGCATTTATTAGCAAGTAGTTTGATCAATAAGCGATCACCAGAGAATCGCAGGAAATTAGTAAACTTGTTCTACATGTCCAGATGAGGAGCTCAAAGGAAAGTGAAAGAGGGAGGGTTAGTGATGAAGACGGACGAAAAATGTTATACTAGCCAACATTGAATCTTTGGGATGACAAGGGTCCGCAAAGTTATCCCAAGCCCGTTCAAAGTATTGATCACTTGTATCAGTCAACCATCTCAGAGCCTTCTGGATTCTGTCCAAGGGTGTATATGCAGAGACCCTGACCTGGAACCTATTCTTTCCGCTGCTGCCTCCGAGGATCCTCTTTGGTATGAGAAATTTAACTGAAAATAAGATAGCCGCAACTGTAAAACACGCCCTAAGCGAAGTTTTATCCATTGAGTTCACCCGAAAATTACGTGAATAGAAATAGAAATTCAATGCTAGACAACACGTTCTTACAATATGCGCAACATATTTACATCCCGGTAGTAATAATCCCTTGACAGGAGGTAACATAAGTGCTTAGGAAGATGAAAAGTATAAGGGAGAGAATAAAACCGTTATACAGCAGCCGTGGCAGTTTTACAGAGAATTCCAGGATCAACAATAGGATATCTTCCTTGAATGACGAGTTGGTGTCTTCGGTGCAAGGGGAATGTGCGCAGAAGGGTACTTGCGATGCCCAGGTCTGACTTCAGAGATGTAGCGTAACTTTCAAAACAAGTTTGACTTTTTTTCGCGATTGCGAGAATGATACCTGTTTGGAGATCACGCCTATTTGTCGACATGAATCATTGCTGAAAGTGCATGGCCATTATCGATGATTTCTCAAATCCATTATATTCGAGTTTCTTTTTTCCAGAACGGAGTAATAACTCACTATCTATGCGGTCTCTGCAACCCGATAAACAAGCTTTTGGGCGCTGATTTGCTTTGCGCGCAAGATTTCTAAGCCTTGTGCTACGTCTCTCAACCCACCATTCATAACCTGAGGAACAAGAGGCTTGATTTTCTTCTCGGCCAATAAATCCCCACAGCAAACAGCGAACTTCTTAGCAAATGCGAGATGGTCTGGCATAGCGGGGATTCTAAAGTCTCCGAAATGCAGTTCTTCTCCAAATAGCGTAGTTCCAATGGTCATGTTGGACTGCACATCATTGCGCGGACACTTCGATGGCCCAAGGGAGCCGTATCGCCCACCAGAAGAGGATAAAGCTCTAGCACAAATCAGTGCACTGGAATCTTCTGAGATTGTATCCCAAGCGAGCGTCAGAGAATCTTTCGTGTGTTCTCGAATCTTCATTCCACATTCGGGGTCCTTGTAGTCGAACACAGCTGCTGCCCCAAGAGATAAAACGTAATCGAAGTTGTGTTTCGAACAGGTGGCGAGGGGGGTATAGCCGCAAATCCTAGCCAGTTGGATGCCCATTGCGCCAGTCGCGGATGATCCACCATAAATGAGGATAGAAGTCGCTTCATTGGATTGCTCGTTGATGAAAGGGAGGCCAAGATTTTGGATCAAGCCTTGGCCTGCAGTATAAAGAGCAACGCCCATGGTGGCGGCCTCTTCAAATATGAGATGGTCGGGGATGTGAAATTGTAGGTCGCCTTTCACAATGATATATTCAGCAAATGTCCCATCCTCCAGTCGATCGTTGTTGGCTCCACGGCCGTATCCGAAAACCCGATCTCCAATTTTGAAAGCCTTCGTCACTGTTTTGCCAATCTGTTGAACAGTGCCGGAGTAATCGCATCCCAGCAACGCTCCTACAGGCGGAGAGTGACTGAGAAGCTTCCAGTCTGCAGGGTTCAGCGCGACAGCGACGGTTTTCACAAGGATACAATCATCGGGAAGAGTAGGCAGAGGGCGATTTGTGATAACCTCTGCTCTATTCGTTCCAACAATGACTAAAGCCTTCTGAGTTGCCATTTTTTTCGCTTAGGGGAGTGAAGTTTGACGTTCTAGGCCAGTATCAGTGATTTAAATAACATCAATAAGTCCAGAATGTTCCGATGGTTACAAATCAAAATCGAATTTATAAATGTACCGGATGAGCTCCATCCACACCCGAAGTGGATATTATGAAAACGGATAGCGGATCAGTCGTTATCCGAACTTATGGATCGGAATGGAATAACAGTCTCTACCCCAATCGTGATGTGGATAAAAGCCACTTCAGGTTGATAGGTATCATCTTCACTAAAGGCTGCGCATGCCATACCCCAACGCAGAAGATGTCACTGGGGACATTAGTAACATCAATTTGTTAAAGTAGATTACAGCGACAATTTACCCCTTAAACATAAACTTAAAAAACATGCCCATCTTTGCTATTTAACAACATTAGTATGAGTAGGAACATGGCGCTGTAATAAATATATATTCAAGTAATATCGGTTCCGTTATCATTGGCTTTTTATTTCACCCTCAGTTTCCTGGCCCAGCGCTTAGTCCTCGTCAAAGCGTATGTGGTCTTCCATGAGTTCATCCACATCATATCCCAATTAATTTGTTGACCACTTGATGAGTAATTGTGATGACCCTCCATACCAGACACTGTCTGGTCACCTGGGCTCTAATAATAGGCCTTTGAAGGCTCACGCTCGGCTTGCCACTTCTTTTCTCGCCTGACGCAATTCGAGCACCGCTCCTCAAGGGAACGTGAATCATAGGAGTGAAGATTTTGATAGAAAAGATTTTGATAGTCAATTTTTTGCTGCATTCTGTGAGTCAGTCTCTGAAATCTTCAGGCAGGAGATAATAAATTAGAATACATTCATGCTTTGAAAGAGTAGTAAATTAATTTCTTGCATCATGTGTATCAGGCTGCTGCTTATCCGCTCCGCAAATCCGCGGATTGCTGAGATTACCTTAGTATCTGCATCCTCCCCACAGGGAGTTGAGGATATCTGCGGATGGTCCGCGGATGTCTGCAAACTGTCCGCATTAGCATAAATATTGTTACTTTATCCTATGATGGACTATCACATGATAAGTATGTAACTGAATCATTCTTGTAATTTTAATATACAATTTTCTTGTTATGACAGTACCATCCTTTAATTCATTACTGTTAGTACGTAAAAGAATCTTAGAAAGGACTGTATTCCCAAAGTGGTACAATCAATAATCAGGGAATTAAATCCAGAGCTCAGGTGTTGTGGTCATCTGTAACTCTGGCATTGGTTTTTGATGGACAGCGTTGTTGCGAAAACCTATATTTGGTCTGAACAAAAATGGGGCGTCCCGTATCAGACACGGCCAAACAGCGGTATGAGGTGCAGGACTATTCAGGTGTCCTACAATTTGGTGCCATACAAAGCTAGGGTGGCCTGGGAACACAGTATACCAAAATGTTGTATCCCCTGTACTGGTGGTATTGTCCTATCACACGGATACGCACTACTCATGCGTTAGGGTTAGACCTGAGTCTATACTGGAGACGCGCGCGTCGCGCGCATCGGCCGATGAAATTGACACCCTGAGTACGGTTTCTATTGGTGGCGACAACCACAATTTTACATTGGCTTTTGGTGTACCGGACTGAAGGAATTCTTTCAACAGAAACATCACGAGGGGCCTTTTAGAATGTATTCGAGCAGCTCATCAAGAGTGTCGAGTGCCACTTGCTCTCTCATCTTAACAACAAGCTGGTTTTCATGATTCCATTTTAACTTGGCTTACAGTATTGTCTTTCTTACTGATAGTTTCATAACATCCGATCCTTGGAAAGCCTGCTTTTGAGGTCAAACGATAGCTGGTTGAACTACAGGGTGTGGCAGGCCCGAAGGTCCCTTCCGCATTTACTTCCACTGTGTCATACGCGACAGATATCTCATGGAAGCCACCCTTCGTCCCCCGTCATCCTCTCGAAACCTCGGCGGGATGGTTTCAATTGGACTATAGGGGTAGACAGTGCGCGGATAGTACCAATAGCACAAATAGCAACAGAAAATACCATAAACTCGAATATGAGGCATAGACACAGACCACAAATAATCCCGACTGAAATTGAGGTTTTTGGTGGAATGGGAGCATATAGAGAAGGAGCGTTTATCTTTTGAGTTGACCAAATGATTTAGATTATCAATATTACACACTCGAAATTGGGGCGATAACTCGATGGAAATTCTGTGTGCTTTCTAGTATCAGCTCATATTCTAAAACGCCAGCTGGCGTGGACCACACCAAGAACTTATCGCTTGTTAGTGAGCCCATATATTTGATTGGCGCTAAGAAGGTTTACCTTGCTTCATGCGTGAAAGATATAATGATGGTACATGAGTGGGACAGAACTCATCATGCGTGAAGGTGTTGTGCTCTGTTTGCGAGATAGCATTATCTTGTCACACTCCTTTGCAGCCTCTTCAAGCCTTTCTATTGCAGTCTTTGTGTTACAGTAGAAACGAAAGAGCTTCCAAATTTCTTGTTAGCACTGAAAACAGCTATGAACCCTATTAGTGACTGACACTGCTTCAAACTAAATTGGGGTCACGATTTTGAGAAACATACTTGTCATTATTGTAGCCAGAACGCGAGATAAATTTGATAGAAAGAGACCGCTATCGCCGTTGAACTACTGTCCGTAGACAAGAGAAGAACAATAGTGATTCATCATCCCCATCAGAGCTCGGCGCGCCAATTTGGACGGCAAATCGCCTGTCAAGAACATAAACCGTCTACCAAAGTGTGTTGCATCGGCGGGCAAGATGTACACCAAAGACACTCTCTGGCAATTTCCGATGGAGAAGGCCCTTAATGTAGGTTAGCCGAAGGGCGTTTCCGATTAGCATCCGCGTCATCACGTGCATGAGCTTATTAAGGCGTATCTCACATATTGAAAAGCAACGCTTCTCATATAATTCGAATGAAAAATAAAGTGAGGCCAGCCCTAATACCTCGGAGCCCAGCGCAGTCTAAATGTCTCACCGTCAGCATTGAATGATTCAGTGGAAGTAGGATGGCACGAGAGTGGGGAGAATTGTTCTATCGGGGAGACAGCACGACGGTAAACCGACCGCGTCGAAGTAGGTCCTAGGAAAAGTTAGACAACATTGGCACTTCAAAAAGGAGGTGCAGTGTATTGGCAAACAATACGTACGATAGCGGCCAACAGGATCCTTGAGGTGCAATGTCTCACTGGCGAGTGGATTGCTAGAAAATTTATCCTTGGCCGTCTAGAGCCTCCCTGACGTTGCTGGTAGATACAGGGCGCGTAGCAGCACATTCATCTGATGCATTGCAAAAAAAGCTGTCAGCGTGCTGTTCGATTGGGCTTTGAAGGTATATTAACCACTACATACAATAGCGGAATTTTATTTCTGACCTTTGTCACTGGGGAGGTCGTTGAGTGCTGCTGCCTTGTCAAGTTTGGAAAACTGCCTTCATTTGTTGCACAAGCCGTGGTGATTCCATTTCGACCTTTATGCTTTTCAGGCCTAGCCAAAGAGACGACCGCAGCACTATTTGACGAAGTCCATAGTCGCGAGGAGATTCCTGCTTTCTTTCGATTTCCATCAGATATCTGACCAACCGCGCAGCTCATCCTTAGTAATTATCCGAGGGCATTCCTGAACCATGAATAACAATTACCTCTCTATAAAGTAAAGTTTGGGGGCATCTTCAGGATAATGACAGTTGTCTTGTCGACGCGTACATCGGGCGCAAGAAAACGCCCCAGAACAGCGAAATTTTGCTGTTCGGCATTGCTGACAGCTGCTATCAAAGTAGTGTTCGGGATTGGACAGATAAGTGGAGATCAATTATGCTGAGCGCTTTTGTTTTGTGCAAAATCAATTGGCTCTTAAGTTGAGTCACAATGGCTGTGTCAAGCTTCTGCCGGAGTTAAAGCAAGCCGGCCCCACCCACATTCTTCTATTGGAATGATCTGTAGACCACTGACGCGTTTGGTCCCTCGGTGGGCAGCGGAGACAAAACTTACGTTCACAGCTACTACTTTGTCTATGTCGCACCTTTTCACAGTTCACATTGTCCTCCTAAAAGCCGAATATAGTCTTAGAATTCCGAGGTTCTGGGTATGGGGGCTATGACTCTTAAGGTTAAGCCTAAGCCCTCTTAAATTACTGATAGCTGCCTTTGTCACTTGGCTCCACCTAGTCATGTGAGTGGGTCTGCTGGCGATAGGTTGTGCGCCCGCACATTTTCTGCATAACTCCGAATGACGAACTTGCATACAGTATTGTGCTTTCTCATATTAATGTAAATTTAGCATAAATACGACCTGCAGCCCATAAGTTAAAACGGAAATGAGAAATATATATTTCTGTTTCCCGCCAGTTTATTCGAATATATAAATAGTAAGGAGTTGTGGCTTCGATCGAGATGGAAGGCCATTATGCTGTTATTGGTGAGATTCCGAGAAAAACCAACAAATCTTCCCCCAGCACTAACTCAAGATATCCGTAGGGCTTGGAGCCATGGGCTACGGCATGGCTAGCAACCTTCGAAAAAATATACCTTTGTCTTCAACACTTTTTGTTTATGATGTCGATCGCGCAGTGTGTGACAAATTCAAAATCGAGTTCAGTGGCCACGGACCGATAGAAACCAACGAGTCGATAAAAGAGACAGTTGAGTATGCTCATGTTCTTGTATCCAGCCTTCCATCTCTCGGGGCCGTTCGTGACGTCTACTTGGATGGAGCTACCGGTGTACTTGCCGCGAGACCGAATCCAAATAGGTTGATAGTGGAAACCAGCACTATGGAAACGTCATCGGCGACGGAGGTCGCGCAGAAACTGGCTGAGGCAAAAGCTGGATATTATGTGGATGCGCCAGTCTCAGTACGTTGAAAACAAAATACCCTCTTTGAATCCGAAGTAATTAGTTACGCAGGGTGGACCTCCGGGTGCGGCTGCGGGAACATTATCATTTATGATCGGGCATGCCAAACCAGAGCTGTCCGATCTTATGAGTCTACGTCTCCAACGCCTTCTGACAATTATGGGAAATCCAAAGAAATTGTTTTGGTGCGGCAAGCTTGGGACCGGCCTGGCGGCAAAAATCAGCAACAACTACATTGCTTGCACCGTCTTTATTGCGGTAGCCGAAGCAATGGCAATTGGGGTTCGCTCTGGAATCGACGGCAAATTGCTTCGTGACATCATCAATAGCTCCTCTGGGCAGACAGCCATTGGCGACATCGTGACTTTTATACCGAAGGACCAATTGTTAGGTCCAAATGGTTTTCCGGTGCATATAATGGTCAAGGATATCGCGCTGGGCGTGAATGCCGCGGAGTTGGTTGATGTAGCACCCAAAATGGCTCTTACAGCACTGGAGATCTGGAAACAGGCCGAGGAAGTCCCTGAAATCATCGCCCAAGATGGTATTTTCCATGCTTAGCCTCGAACAGCGCTCAGGACGCAAGCAGTGTCTGGAGCTTGTCCAAGCATGGTCGCCAAGCCATGCTGTAAAAAAAAAGCGTACATCTGATACCACTTCTTGTCCTTCAAGTAAAATTTCTGTTAAATGTACAGTACAGTATTAACGCTCGATGAATGGTATTCATCGTTGAATAGAAGAGATCACTAAATTAAGCTGATAAGTGGTTCCAGCAAATAATCAGGGCAAGATAACTCATAACAACGTCATACGTGTTTTGAAATGATCTTCATACCAAGTAAAATTTCAGGACCTGTGGCCTGGTGGAATCTAAGAAGAGCCAAAGCCTACGGGAACAATTGAGACAAAGATTATGGATCTTCACAAAAAGTTCGGATACTTGCAAGCGTTTCGCTGGAATCAGAGGACTTAGTAAGAGAAGTTAGTCTAAATTCATATCTTTCCTGACTAGGTCTATAGAATCGAATAATAAATCACAGGGTAGCCTACAAAAAATAGAGCTATATCACCTTCTAACTTTTATAGCTCGGTTAATACCATTGACTCCGAACCAGTTGACGGATAGCCTAGTGTTACGCACGACTAACTGGTCATCGCTATGTTGGAAGAATCCTGGGTTATACTTGCCTGTGCTTCTCTGTTTTCAACGTCAACGGTCTGTCTCTCAACTGTTCCGTTGCCTAGCAGGCCTTATACAAGCTAAGTCCTCTTGAGAGTATCGAGGAACGTGGCCAGGTAGGGCACCGAGATGTATGCCGGAGTATACTTCTATTCGTGAGTGTTGTCAAGTTATAATCAAGTAAAGAGCCACCGAGTATCCAAAGTGTAAAACACAAGTAACAATATAGATTTGAACTCGAGGAACTAAACTAAGTACATGAGGAGTGTCCTTGTATATCCTTCATCTGCTACTCCAGATCTACCCCAGGGGTATATCTAGAGTCGCCCGTATACTCCTGCGTATACTCCTGGAGTCGACGCTGAAACCACGGTCACGTGATTGCCGTTTCAGTGTTATGTGGAGTTCCTTATCATTTTCGATTGGTTACGGGCTTATTGGAACCCGTAGCACCGACTAGATCAGCTATTTTCAGGAGTGCTACCCAACAGACCTCTCCCAATTCTATATGCGTCGTCCAATGAACAACTTCATGGTACCACTCCTGGTTTATTTGGGCTCCATTCTCAACCCCGATTTATTCTCCGTCATTCTCGTGCCCCGTGTGCCGCCACCAGAAGCATAATCATGTACACAAAGGCACGGTGATATATCATTCACTATTTTATTCTAATGTATAATTTTACAATGTCTTGACTTGAGCCAGTCAATAGCAGAGCGGAGTGAAAATCCCCCTATAGTTTGTCGAGACCGATGAGTATCATGCTGCTTGGGTTGTTGACGATGGGGATGTTGAAGCATCGTGTGATTGTTTGGGGCCTTCTCAGACGCTACGGATATCTGGGTGCGGTTGAGACGCTGAAGAACACTTTGAAACTAAGATATGTCACGAAATAGTCGCCAAGAAGTAGGATAAAACAAAAGAAAGTCTCGGAAGATGATGCGCAAAAGTCATCCTCGTGTGACTAGTCGCATTATTTCAGATACGCGTGGTAAGGGGGAAACTAAAGTAGTAGTGGTCTGCATACCACCTGATTGCGAAAGCTTGCCGAAGATCAACTGTGGTAGTACAGTAGAATTCGAAAACAGTTTACCCCCCGGACACTCACGCTTTGTTTCTCGGCCCGTACCCGAAACGACGCTAGTCCATATGAGGTTACACCAAAAATAACCCCTGTCCAGCAGTATCGTCGTATATAACGTACTGGGCTGTAATGTATGATGAATCCTGGTAAATTACCGTATTTTCCCATAGAAAGTTCTAGCTAGGGGATCTGGAAGGGGTGGGGGAGATCTGGCAATCTGGCTTGATCCACGCCCTACTCTCCTTCTTCTCCCCGTAATCTTCGTCTTCATCTACATCTTACTGAACATAAACGAAAGCTGTACTTCTGTGTACTGCTGTAGAAGACTAACCCGGTAGGCTAATATGGTTCTCGTTTCATGGCTCTTGCTCTCCCTTTCGTCGCTTTCATTCTGGGCGTCTACTCACAACTGGTATCGCCCACCTATGTTGACAGACCTCCAGTGCCTTGATCGTCTGTGAATATGAGCTGCACCTCGTACCATGATGATTACATGTCTCAACCCCCAGATCTTGAACTATGGGAATATGATTCACAATATGCCCCTACACCAGGAAACTTCCGGAGCCCTTATGCTACACGGCACGACTGTAGTCCCTCTCCTTCGATCTCGCTCGAAGAAGAGCCCAACGTCACACGCCGATCTCAGCCGAATAATTTACCTCTTCTCCAGGAATCTGAGTGGGATGCGGACAAGATCTACGACGAGGATCCGCCGAGCTGTATCCACTACTTCATAGAATGGCGTGTCACCCTCAATAACAAGGCCGTGGTAAAGGATACGGAAGAAGACCTGGTATTGACCCCGAGCGCCTACTGGCCCTTATTCCTTGAAAAAAAGCTACAAACTGTCCTTGGAGAGAAGGTCAGCCGCAACAATAGGGTTAGGATCGATGACACAGCGATTGTCGTGGCAGTCAATGATCGTTCCCAGCGTGATTTGACCAAGCGCTTCAACAAGACCGAAATTGTCTGGGCTCCTATCGAGAAACAGTTGCGGATGTGGTCGAGTCATTTCTGTCGTGGAAAGAGACTCACACTGAGGGTCTGTTTCAACTACGTAGAGGATTGCACTTCTCCATCTGCTGGACGGAAGGGGGAGAAGAGAGGTAAATCTTCCGTCACAAAAAGAATGCTTGATGATCGGGATGCCCAGCTTGATGCTGAAGAAAATGCGTGCGGCCAACAATCAATTTGGCGCCGTGTTTATGACTTGATGAAATGTGGTTCGGCTGCATGCCATTTGGGTCCCTACTGTTGGCTGGATCCAATGGGGAAAAGGCATTACCGACTCCGCACGCAAACTCTCAGGCGTTTGGTTACTTATGTCGAGAAAGGTGGTACCTTGGAGACGCATAAAGACGTTCCGGATGAGATCCGGGATGAGCTCTATATGGAGGAACAGCAGAGACAGGAGAAGGAAAAGCGCAAAGGCGGTAACATTCTTAGGGATGGAGGGCCGTATCAACATATCAACATCAATGTTCACCCATCCCACTCTACTGGATTGGCCCCGATGACCCCGGATGATGCCCCGGAAGGGCTGAGAACTGTGACTCCTTTGAATATTCCTGGGTTCAAAGACGTAGCTGTCAAAGAATACGGTGAGTGGCTCGCATCGAATGTATCCGATGATACTCTCAAGGCTGGATTCCGTCAAGCGTGCGATATAACGCTTTCAGATGGCTTCGAACTTCAGCACATCTTCAAGGATCAAAACCCAAATTTCTTCGTCGACAAGGGGATCAAGCCCGGAATTGCCCGAAGTTTCGTAGAAAATATCCGTGACTGGGTGGAGAACGTGAAGAGGGTGATACCGATCGTTGACGTGATGTGAAACAATTATTTTGGTGTAGCTAGCGGCCCTTCGGAGTTTTGACGAATAATATACATGAGATATATATAAATAGAGATATACCACGAAAGTAGACATCTTCACTTAGAGCATTTCCTAAAGATATGATGTGTAACTTGCAGGTTGAGTTGACGGGGCCAGATCGCGATGGCGCTCGATAATCCCATATTAGCAGTACTTTCGACGTAAAGTTTCTTGCACGGCTTCAGTGAGGGTATCCGGGTTCCGGATTGCTTCAAGTAGCTCCTGAAGTTCTGTCTCGTCGCTGCATCGTATCTTGTCAATCAACGCGGACAAGGCATGGCGGTATTGTTGCGCTTCGTATTGGTAGGCAATGTCAATATCCTCTTGGGAATGACCTTGGCGGCAGGTTCGACCGCTCACGCTGCTCACAAGCGTCCGTTGTCCTATATTAGGCTCAAAACAAGTTCACCGTACAACAGCATGCGACTTACCTGGTAATATAGCCATCAGGTTTTGTGCACAGATCTCCAAGGAGCAGAGAAATGTTAGTGGGGGATGTAATTGTCACGCCGAGAGGGCCTCAGAAAGTAACCGGCAGGCGGACCTATTACGTCATCTCGGTCAACATGAAGAGGGGAACTGCAAACATCCCAAAAGCGAAAATAGCGAATTTCGAGCTAGGGTTCAGCATTCAATACGTGGGAGTATGTAGGTAGAATCGATTTTCGAGTATTACTGTACGAAGCATGAAGGCATCTATAAGTTTGATAAAGAGTATAAATTGTCCCTTCGTTATATAATATCACATATTAGCACCGATCTCACCAAGGGCTCTAGGTGTTGGTTCCAACCTCTTGTTTGCAACGACAGAGCCAGATTACAGATAGTCATACTTGCAGCATAACCAGCAACTAAAAGCCAAAAAGAACCAGAGAACAACCTACTGAGGGTAACTACATTAAAGCTCTACACCTTTCCATTTGATGATAACAAACAGTCAAAGTTATGGTGCCATGTAAATCAGAGGGCGCCTTCGACCACGTGTTATGCATGAGGCCCTTCGCTTGAAGCGGCAGGAATAAATTCGTTATGCGTTACTCGACAAGCACCTTGCTCTAGAAGGCGGGATTTAACCGGTGAGTGTTTCCTAAGTGCCGAAAATTGAGGATTTAACGAAAAAACATGCCATGACCACTCCTCTGGACCTTGTTCTGCCCCTTCAGTTTCTTATGAATTTTGTACGAAATAGGTTCTAGTGCCTTAATGTTTAACAGTCAGGCCTGCGTGCCGAAAGTGGCCTCTGGCACTGTCTTGTCTTTCCCCAACTTGGTTGATACACCGTTCCAGAAAGGACCCAAATTCGCGGTCGGGATCATCTGCGTAGTAGCACCAATTGCGTCTTATGAAGCCTTTGAGTTCAGCAAAAAACTCCTCAATTGGATTCAGGTCCGGCGAGTACGGAGGCAAATAAACAAGTTTGACTCCAGCATCGGCACACATCTGCGAAATCCGCTCAGAGTGGTGAAACGATGCATTATCCATGACCAGAACAGACTTTGGCTTCGGCCATCTTCCGCAATGACGAAGAAGCTCATCGATGAAATCTTCGAACAACGCGGCATCCGTTGACCCACGAAAGACGCGAGTAAGCAAAATACCATCTTGGGCATATGCAGGCAGAATTTGATAACGTTCGTCACGGTGAAACTGTGAAACTTGTCGAGGTGCTACACCGAGTGGTGACCAGCCTGTCCGTCGGAAACCAACTCGTTTATCACATCCAGATTCATCAACATAAACAAGGTGGTACGACTCAAAATCCGAGAGATTGAAGATAAATTTCTCGTAATTCGGCACTCTGCTCTTTAGCACTCTGTCGGGCGGTCTTTTTGGACCAGCCTTGGGATACAAGGGCCCTCCTAATACTAGAGGTGGTTGCTAGTATCTGAAATTCATCCCATAGAAAGATAGCCATTTCCTCTAGGTACAGACCTGGTTTTTCCAGCAGATGGTCACAGAGGGCCTCGATCATCGGTGGTGTTATGCTTCTTCTCCGGCCGATACGAGTTGGAGGGGCATGAACTTGTCCAAACAGTCGCAAGTTCCTGCGGATGTTTTTGATCGTCTGTTCGCTACATTCTGCTGCCTCGGCCATTTGAGAACGGGTAAGCGACTGGCTTTGTATCATATCACTGATGAAATGTAGCTTTGACAGTGGTAGTCTCGGTGCCATATTGCGCAGAATTCTTGCACTTCTCAGATGGTGGTGCTGAGAATGGATGTCACGTATGGAGGGGCAACGGGGGTAGGAGTTTCGTGTAAGATACGGTATTATACGTTAAGCAGTTGTCCTGGAATTAAAAAAGTTCTATTCTTAGGAATGTATTATTACGCCTTATCTTAGAACGGATTAGCGTGGTTTCGGGTACGGCCCGAGAAACAAAGCGTGAGTCTCCAGGGGGTAAACTGTTTTCGAATTCTACTGTACTGTAGTTACAATCAGTTCTTTTGATTCAAGATGGACATGTGCCAAGCAACTGTTGTTCACTGATGCAGCTATCCTTAAACTTGCAGCTTTGATAGCAACCTCCATCACAAGGCAGGTGTATCCGCGAACAAAGCTGCGGAATGACCTTCCGGATATCTACCACCGGCCACTTCTACTTCCATACAGGCAACCCGCATTCGGTTCTCCTCTTCAGGCGTAAGTTTGATTTCCAAACTTTTCAAATTTTCCTTGAGCCTGTCGACATTCGTGGTCCCTGGGATAGGGAATACATCACCACCCTGCGCCGACAACCAAGCCAATGTCAGCTGAGATGGAGTCACTTTTTTTTCCTCTGCGAGTGTTTTGATCAGTTCCACCAGGGTCAAGTTCTTGTTGAAGTTTTCTGCGCTGAATCGAGGCGCATACTTCCGGAAGTCGCCATCGTCAAACCCATTCGGCGACGTAATTGTTCCGCTCAAGAACCCACGACCTAGGGGAGCATACGCTACTAACGCAACGCCAAGCTCGCGAGCTGTTTTCAGCAAATTATACTGGGGACTTTCAACTTCCAGCGCAAAGGGCGAATATTCCATCTGAACTGCAGCAATGGGGTGGACTTTGTGAGCTCGTCGAAGGGACTCCGCGCTGCATTCACTCAAACCAAGATATTTGATTTTGCCTTCCTTCTGAAGCTGAGCCAGGGCCTCCACTGTCTTTTCGATCGGTGTCTTTCCGTCCAAACGGTGACAGTAATACAGGTCAATGGACGGCACTCCAAGGCGAGAAAGTGATTTCGAGCAGGCCTGGATGACATATTCGGGGGAGGAATCAACGGCGATCGAGCCGTTTCCAGAGACTTTGTTGGCAAATTTTGTTGCGAGGAATATATTGTCACGCTTTTCAGGATTTGCCTTGAACCAAATCCCAAGAAGCTCTTCACTGTCGCCATAAATATCGGCTGCACTCGAAAAAAAAGTGGTCAGCCAGGGGGCACCATTTGCGATGGAAGATTAAAAGATATGAAGCAAGCCTACCAGTATCCCAGAAAGTCTCCCCAAGCTCGTACGCCGCATCCAATAGAGCAAGTCTTTCGTTGTCAGGCTTGGGTTTGCCGTAAAATGCACTTAAGCCCATTAAGCCTAAACCAAGCCGAGGGACGTCGGGACCGAACCGCCCGAGCTTGCATTTTGGAAGATTAGGGGTACTCATCGTAGTGTGAATGACTGACTCTCGGTATAAGAATAATATGGTAGATGAATTGGAAAAAAGCGAGGAGTATCGACAAGTAATAATATGTCATTTGGTAGATGAGATCTTATATACCTTTGCAGACAGCCCTCCGTGCGAAAAGATGAGCAGTCCATCAAAGGATTTGTCGGGAATAAGCTTATGTCCGATCCAAATTCCGTGGTGCCATTAGAGTAATGAAGTCATCCAGTTTGATACCTCTGGAGCGACGCTTACCTCTGTCATCGATGTCCGCTACTATATTCGGATACAGGAAATCATGAATTGGAGTATCTGGTGGAAAACTTCTCGTGTTGAAGCAGAAATTTTCAGAAATTATCATTTAGGCCCGACCATTGTCTTGCTCGGTCTTATCTCAGAGGATATATGGTTATAGATAATACTAGCCATGTTCCAAAGCGGGTGCACTAAAAAATAACTTTCTGCTAATTACGCTAAAATGTACGATTTGACTACCATACCATTTAAGTCCTGGTAATCGGTAAATTTGGCATTCTGAGTGGATCCGGGTCCGCAGTTATGTATTAATCGAAAAGTTCCTCGGGTGCTTCCCGCCTTATGTCCGATTCGAACGTCATAAATATTCGATATACACCATCCTTTTACTCGGTGGAATAATCTCATCACTGTCGGGATCTGAGCTATAAATCGCACGTCTTCTGGCTCTCCGCTCAGCTTGTTCAGCGCGCAACCGATCCCTCTCCTGCCGTGCTCTGCCAACCTCAAACGTTCGCTCAGGTCGTTGTGATCAAGCCGGCGTTGGTCTCCAGCAAATTTGGAATGTTTCGCAGCGATCGCAAACACCATGTTCAAAAGCTCCATCCACTTAATTCCGGGCTGTATCGTTCGAATAGAAAGACCGACATTGGCTGAGGAATATCTCTTTGCCAACAATAGGAAAGGAAGGATGCGTATCTTTGAAGTATCTTTCGACGAGTTCATTGGCGACGGCTTGTGTGGGATACATGCCAGTATCATTTCCAATTGACATCTGGGTCTCGTCAATGAAGACACCACAAGAAGAGATTGATGGGTCTGTGGTTGATCGAATTGGTTGTCTGTGTTCAAATTTGTCGCCTCATGCGACAGCCTGTATAGCCACGCCGTTGTCGATTGCTCCCCCAACAAATCCTATCGCTTGCAGCGAGCTGTCCCATTTAAAATATTCAAGTGTGGGATTCTCGAAAGAGAATGTGGAAGGTGGCGTGGTTGTGTTTCCTAAGATTGCGGCGGGGGTTGGTGACGACGGGGAAAGACTTGAGATCTACGGGTTGTCTGAGTATAGCTCGGTTAATGGGAGACTTTCTCTCGGGATTTCGAGTTACTGTTTTCAATGAATTGCGAATTCTCACACACCTTTCCGAGGGCTTGGTCGACAATTTTGGCCACCCCAAGGTCAAACTTGGGATAGATATCGCGCTTGAGAGATTCATAATGTTCGAGTTGTTTGGTCATCACCGTGAGGTGTCTAAATACCCTAGTAAGTACTATGTGCCGTAATAAGATCTGGAAGAAAAAGAACATACTACGCATTCTCTCTCGTTTGCCATCGACGTAGACACAAGGGACATTGAGCTCCTGGCACCGCAGGCAAGACGGTCGATGACCAATACAGTACACTTGTTTGCACGCTCTTCTCCAAGCTCTCCAATGGTCTTGTGACCCCCAATTTAGACGTTTACCCTGATTCCATGTTTGTCAATTTTGTGGATGTGGCAAACGTATACACATAGGGCAACATCTCCTCGTCTATATTTTGTTTCGATAGCGGCGGCGTTGTTTCTGCTTTGATCACTACTCTGATAGAAAGCGGGTTCGCCTTTCCCTCGCGGCATTTTTCACATGCTCAAACTACGCGGCGATTAGTAGCGGGAGGTTGGGAGGTGGGAAGGAGCGGGGGCGGGGGAAGGGTGTGTTTGGCTTTGTGTTTGCGACCCGAGAAATTGGGGACTCGCGTTTGGCAATTGCCACATGTTATCAACTTGCGGCTCGTAAGAGAATTTTGAGCCTTCGGAAGCATTGGTTGAGGGGTCGGACGAACAATGACCAACAGCTGAACCGGGCTGAATGCCGCTGATATCCAACATGGAACGACGGCAATACGCGCTGAACAATCTTTTCAATACACATCACCATCCACGTTTGAGCCGCGGAATATTCCTAGGCCAGGGGTGATGTTGACTTCTTGTCATTGTGTTTCCCGGCCCGAAGGCCCGCAAGACGCAATTAGTATCCTCCACTAAATAACCAAGAATTTCGGTTGGCTGGAGCTGAGCCAGCTGAGCCAGATTATGCAGCCGGTGTTAGGTTGTCAGAATATTTTTGTTTTCTAACTAGAGAAGCCTTGCACCAAAACGGTACGGTGTTGGTTAGCAAGAAAGATAGTTTTATATTTCTTTTCGCGACGAACAAGTCAATCGATTTTGCGTGGCTTTTCACTTAAGATCTAGACCTAGGATGTCGCCTAAAAAGCCTCTCCAGAAGGCAACTGTCATCAAAACTGCTTGCGAGCATCAAAGCCAGGCGCCGGCCGACAAGGAGTTCTGGAAAAAATCCAAAAATGTCTGAACCGTGCATATCACGTCAAGGCATCGAAAGCAAAAGCCAAAACCGCGCTCTTCATATCTCAGAAACTCATGAGTGAGCATAATGTGACTCAAGCAGATCTCATGGCCAACAATGATAGAAGCACAAAGCGTGATACGGTGGGCGAAGTATCGCTCGCATTGAAAAAGTCACGGGCTCACCGCGGAGGGTTATGAGAGAGGCTTTTGTTGAGAGGGTGGGCGACGGCAATGTGCACCTTTTTTAACTGCAAAAGCTTTTCGATCGATTTTGGTATCTCAGTGGAATGGTCATTCTTCGGTATTGCTAGCAACACGGTTGCCGCAGCAATAGCCTTCGAAAGGGCACACAATCTGATCTTGGGATGGGAGTCACTCACGAGACACTCGCGAGGTCATGTTGGAAAACAGTGATGTGAGTCGGTTAAGAAACCTTGAACGACGACATCAAATGCTCCCCGGCCTTGTTTATTTGAGACAGAAGGCTTTTCAATTTTCAACGATTTATATTGACCATCTCATCTATTAATACCCAACGTGAACTCCAAAGACTGCCTACACTTTCATCACTAGGAATGGTGGACGTTGTTTCCCAGCCTGGCTTTATTGTGGGTTGTGTTGGGGCTGCTTGCCCGTCGTATGGTGGGATGGTATAATACAAAAGACTAAATCGTGAGGTCTATTGCTGTTACACATCCAAAATAAGCACCACACATTAAGCATCAGCTTTACAGTACCATTAAGAATGCCTGCGAAGTTTTACCATGGCAGGGTGCTCCTAAACGTTACAAGGGAAATCCTCTCTATCCTGTCAAGGAGAACAGGGCATTCGCTCCATCACTTGCACCCACATATTTGAAATCGCAAAAAGCCCTAGGTAGTTCCGCGCATCCCAGGGATGCGTGGGGCTGATAAGTGCTAGGTCGAAGTTACGCAACAGCTGTGTCCGGTCGGCGGTCAGTTAGCGTGTCATCGAGAAGAAAGAGGACTAAAGTAGACATGCGGAGCTGTTTCTACTCACCTCGAATACCGTCTTTCCGATCTCGATTTGTGCCACTGCCTTCCCTAAACACTGGAATCTGCCGTGGCCGAAAATGAGTTCGTTGGTCCGAACCATGACAGCCAGCTTGGCAGGGTTCGACTCGAGCCACCGCTCTGGTCGAAAAGCCTCTGCGTCCTTGCCATAGATCTTCTCGCTTTGGTGCATAGCGTATGCGGAGTACCCAATGCAGGCGCCGCCCGGTAACAATACGCTCTCCCCGTCGACGATAAGAGCATCGCCATCTGGCGGGATATCACGCGGGAAGACGTTCGTAACAGGCGGGCAGACTCGCAGAGCTTCGCGAATCACGGCCTGGAGGTACGGAAGATTTCTAGCCTGGGCGGCAGTAATAAGGCTTTCGTCTTTGCTCGGAGCAAAGCCGCGGCGCGTGGCATCGTCAATTTCGTACTGTAGCTTGAGGTAGACACGGGGGTTCGTTATGAGGTACAGAAGGGTGCCACGGATGGCGCCAGCAGTGGTGTCAGAGCCCGCAATTATTTGTTCTAGGGCTTCAGTGCGCAGCTCGTCACCTGCTAGACCGTGGCGCATGAAGGAGGCTAACATATCGGATTTTTCGTCGGTGGAGCCCGCAGCGCGCTCTTCAACAAGGCGGAAGCATGCGGCCATCATCTTACCGAAGCCGTTGCTATCTTTGGGCGAAGGTGCAATAAACCTGCCGATGAAGGGCATTTGGGTGATCCAGCTGAAGCCCATCGCAAGGGCGGTATTGCCGATAGCAAGCCCCTCCTCGCTAGGTCCATGGGCATAACACAGCGGTCGGACGAGATATATTTGGACCGGATGAGGTACAGAAAATCTTGAAGTCGTTCATCTATCGACCCTTCGAGCTGGATATTCTCCCTTCCCGAATACTTTAACAATTCCGGTTAGCAGCCCACGCAGGTACGAATGAGTGGGGATAGACTCGGAGAGAAGTACGAGGCAGCTATCATACCCCTGGAGCCATCTGCTTCCTCCGCTGCTCGTGTTTCGTGTTATCCGTCTGACTGAAGACATTGTCCCTCCGGTACTCGATTCGTGCGGCTTTGTAGTACCAATTGGAGCGTTTGTAGCCAGGCTTGTTGTTTACGTGCATCCAAACTTCGGGAGAAGACGTGACCAGCACTTGAGGCGCGACACGGGCGATCGGACCTGGCTCAAGTCGAAGATGTTAGCTATAATATATGCGGCTCCCCGGATGCAAAGCATAAGAGATGTCTAGGAAAATCCCTCGCACCATGTTTCTTGTTGACTTCTGCGTACCACTCGTGGCAATTGCCTCGAAGCATCGCCATGCTATGAGGCCAGTTCGAAATGCCGGTCCCCGAGGGCCCCCGGAACTGCATCAACTTAGCATATGTCGTGATAATCCTGAAGACATAGAGGCTCAAGAGGCAGCAGAAGAGCGTCACAGCCTGACCTGATAAGTCGGCTACCGCCATAGCGGAAGAAACAACCGGGAAGAATTGGGAGAGTGGCCTTTGGGGGAGTCCGCGGGCCCTGCTATATACTACGGCCACCATTGGATATGGGAAACGCGTGACGACTTTTGACTTCACGGACATGGAGCTGGTTACATTAATGCAGCGGTTGCTATTCGTGGCCTTCTCCCGCGTGCGTGAGATCCACTTTCTAGTGCTGACTAGCGTGTAGAGAGAGCAGCTCCACAGCCGGGCCATTTGAGATGGGAAAAATAATAATACTCGCGCGTATGATGGGTTCTCTGGGCGGCGGTCTGATCCCTCAGTGGCCTCGGGGATCTTTCAGTGGCTAGGTGCACAGATTTGCGCTTTGCTAGCCCCTCTTCCCATGATTCCGGGACACCCCGCAGCCCGATCGGCAAGGCTTTAAGCCGCGCTGAAGTGCAATGACTTCTATCAAACCATGGCAGATCGCGTTGGGCTCTGGGTCTGTTGGAATGGTCAACAGTTGGCCAATCGCTAGTAGCCCCCGCCTTCCCCGCCTGGTACTTTTTTCTTTTTTCTTTGTTACTAGTATAGGCGTGAGTTGGTCACGCTCCGCCCCAACATCCCACTTTCCCCCGCCTCCATTTTTTGCCCAGCCGTTTTCTCAAATTGCTCCGACGTCAATAGTTTCACCCAAGTCTTTGGGAAATCATCGACTGAAGATATGGAGAAAATCGCAGTGGTAAGTAGTGTTTGATGTTCTGATGCGGTCATTCTCATGTCTCGACTAGGACCCAGACTTCTACTCTATAGCTACTGGTTTTGGCACAGATCCGCAGGACTTTCAGTCGTGAGTGCAACTACAGCATACCTTCTATCGTATTCTCACTCTAGTACGTCTTCAGAGAGACCACCTCTATTGCGTCCTCGATCGCGAGGGGACGATTAGAAAACGGCCGAAGGTCAGTCTAGTCCAGCCTAAGGTCGTTTCCTGGTTTTAACCTAAGAAGTAGATACCAGGCCACTAAAGAAGATGATTACTGGTTAGTTACGAAGCATTGATTTGTATATACATGGAGTAACCATATCCAGGGGACCTTCTGACGAGCAGCAATTCGAGGCGTTTGAGATCGGGTAAATCGCATCTCATCCTCATATTTTTTATGTCTCACTAATAGAAGGTCTGTGATTATGATGAACTCAGCCATATGGTGTTTCTTGTTCTAGATTTCAACCAGCCGAATCCTCTTTTTCGCGCCCCTATCGGCGATTCGCCCAAGGTGAAGTTCCCGAGGCGACACTCACTTGAACGTCCCGTTAACATCACAATGTAGCATATTCTGGACATCGGAACTGGTCAAGGAAGTTGGGCAATGTAATCCGATGAGCAATACGTTTCGAGAAAACCATTAACGAGCCTTAGTGATGTTGCCGACCGCTATCCGTCAGGTACTAGATTTCCCGAGACGACTCCTTCTGTTCTTGGGCTGACGCTGGCTAGCTACCGTCCGCGGCGTGGATATTTTTCCCCCGCCAGTGTCATGGATGCCCCCAAATTGCGTGTTCGAAGTGGATGATGTGCTCCGCGAGTGGACATGGAGAGACTCGTTTGACTTTATCCATATACGCCTCCTGTATGGCGCCTTCCCTCCTGAGGGATGGGACCAGTTATACAAACAGGCTTACGAGTGAGTTTCATCCTTATTACTCGGTCTCGTGTCATCAAACGCTCATATCTGTTTACTCTCGGTATAGCGCCCTCGAACCCGGTGGCTGGATCGAGCAGATGGAATTTGACGTGCGGGTCTCTAGCGATGACGGTACCCTGAAAAAAGAACACCAGCTATGGGAGTGGGGACCAATGTTTATTAGGTGCGCCGAGAGAGCTGGACGGTCGCTCAACATCCACGAAACCATGCGCAGCGCAATTGAGAAGACCGGATTCGTGGAACTGCACGAGGAAAAGTACAAGATCCCCTTAGGACCTTGGCCTAAGGATAAGTTACTGAAGGAGGTCGGACACCTCCAAGATGCCCACTGGAACGCCGCTCTAGAAGGTTGGGCGATGTGGCTTCTCACCCACTTCGGGGAGCCGGAGCCGTGGACGAAGGAGGAGGTGCAGGTGTTCCTAGCTAAAGTGCGCATAGAGCTGAAGGACCCACA